TTGGTGAATGGCAAGTCTACCCTTTTACAGAAATAATATTCTTACTTACATAGAAGATGTTATCTGGCACTTTACCAAACAACATTTCAGTGTCACAGGAAGAAAAAAATTTAACACAGCAATTAGACTTAGAAGATCATACTTAGAAGTAGTTTAATATAGTTTTAAAGGACTATCATTGAGTAGAATAACTAAAGGGAAATTTTTATAAAATTTCACACACACAAAAGCTATTAGGTATGAGAGATGACAAATCTTTACAAAACATTTTTAAAAAGAATGTATGAAAAGCAACTGAAGAGCTGAAAACAAAGCTTAAACAGGCAGCACCACACCATATTATAAAGTTAGCTTTCAGGAATTTGGTAGGCAGAATTTCTACAGGCTTAACATTACTTACACTTTAAAGATTTGAAAATCTTGAGAAACAGGTAAAAAACTGGAACATTTGCTAATTTGGTCTACAGACACATATGCTGCCTCCACTTCGTATTTCTCAAGTGTTGCTCAGAAATTTGGTGCGCAAATGCAGGTGCATGTGTAAGAATACATATTTTTTTCAAATTAGCAAACTCCTTCAGGGTGAAAGTTTTCACCAAATTACCAGGCTTAAGACATTAGTGTTATTATAGCAGTTAAAGAAATTATGTATTTCTTTTTCCTCATTGCTGAAGTTTTTAATTGGTGGCTTCCTGTATGAACATATTCATCATTTGCTTATGTTCTTTTATAACATACAGATTTTGCCAATTAATGACTTATACAATACAACTTTGGGGATTCATTTATCATTAGAGGTTTATAAATTTATATATTGTACCCAGAATGATAAACATTTTGAAATTGTTATTTTTAGACACCACCTTTTTAAATTGTTAAAATACGATACGGTGGTGAAAGTGGGTATACTTAGAAAATGTCTTTAAATAATAAATCCTATAGTTTACCAAAAGGGAAAGCTGGAAAATTCCTAAATGAATACAGCAAAAAAGTAAAAGCAATTCTGAACCTAACCAGCAGGTAAATTGATAGTAAGTAAAAGTGTTTTAAAAAAAAAAAAGGCATTTGCTTAAATATAGGAATACCTGTTCACTAGAGAAATAGCCGTGCACATATTCAATTGCTTTTAATTTGTATTCTGTCAAAACAGCCTAAAAAACATAGAAAAACAGCAATTAATATATGTAAACAGAACATTAACCCACAAATATCAAAACTAACTAAGCAAGTCTCAGCCTCTTAAGCCTGGTCAACAGAGCAACTATTAATAAATTCACTGTGGAGACACATTTCCGCCTTTTCAGGTTTCATGTTACAAGGATTTCAGTGGATAGCAGGAAAACTCTTGGGCCTCCCAACTCACACCTACAAAGGGATTAAAATTATCATAGGTAAGGTTTAACATTAATTGTAATACATATAGAATTCCTATTGAGTATTTTCAGAAAATTCCAAATTGCACTCATGTGTCTTTTTAAGAAAAATGTATCAGGCAATACTCAAGTGTTCAATTCTTTACTGAGCACCTACTATGTGCTAAATGGTGGAGAAACTCAACAAGATCTAAATAATTGAGGCTCTCAACATTTCTATGGAGAAATGAGAACCCAAGAAGTCAGAGAGGACCTTCAAATTTTGTCTTCCATTGACAGTGTGAATTTTGAGAGGCATTTTAATTATCCTGAGAGCCTCCTCACTTACAAGACAGGCTACTTTATGGTTACTGTGAGAATTAAGTCAACAGCAGATCTAACACCTGATAATAAATGCTGGTTCCTTTTCTCCTACAGCATCCATCAGTGAGACACTCAGAGAAGTCAGTGGCCAGCACAACCTATAGCTGAATGAAATCACATGTTCTCACACATGCCCAGCTTAAATATGAAAAAAATCAATCATAACTGGATAATTACACATGTAAACAACGAACCCCCTTGATTATATTACAAAATATTTGTAATAATGCTAGGAGAAAATATTATAACCAGTCACTCAAGAAAATTATCCAGGTTGTTCAACAGTTTTTTATTGCAAATGCAGGTGGAGTGGGATGGGAAGGACATTCTGAAAGTATTCTTGGGAATACATACTTGTTTAAAGAAATTATTGGACATCATCAAAAGCAAATTTCTGACACACCCAAAACATAAATTATGATACAGTGTAACTTCTTTAATTACAAGATCTAAAAACAAAATCAAGTTTTCTGGATCAAATCCTAGTTATGCTGATGAGCAGTCCCATCTCAATTCTTTCTTCAGTGTCACAGAGGCCCAGCTGTGTGTGTCCTCTGGCACAACATGAGCTGGAGTTAGACTGCTCAGTTTTAATACTGGAGCCAGATAACCAGCTTGGTATAATTTTGAACAGACCAGTTAGTCTCACTGAATACAGGAATGCCAGCCATGGGTAAAATAAGTATAGCATCTATACCTCTTGGGTTAGGGGCATTAAATCAAATAAGGCACAGTCAAGTGCTTAATAATAATTTACTGTTTATTACCTACTTTAGGAAAGCAAATTCATCACTGCTTCTTATCCACCTTTTTCCCTATTTCTTTTCCTTTTATCTTCTTACATGCCTTTGCTGTAAAGGGCAGTACAGACAGTATAACCTACCTATAGTGACAGAAAGATTAATTTAAACTGACTTACATTTACAAAATCCGAAGGTTAACTTTTAAAATACCATGTTTTTCTTACATTTGATTCTGTCTGTATCTTTATCCTATTTTAATAGACTAAGAAAATGTTGATGCATCTTGGCATAGAGAGCAAAAGTATTTTGACTACAGACTGGAAGTAAGGATTTAAGTTTTCTCTCATGTAGCTATGATTTTTATTTCTGGAAAATTTTCTCTTTTCATTATTACTGACAATATCACCTTTTCACAAGTTAGTAGGATAAGAATATATAAACTGACACGGCAGATTCAAAAAGAATTGTACTGGTCTTCTGAACACACTATTTTCTTAACAGTAATTAGCAATTTTGTTATTAATTTCATAAATTGAAATAATGAGGACCAGAGCAGACTAACAATTCCTTCTTCAGTCTTAAATGTAGGGAAAATGGTGAAATAATTGCCGATTCCGCTCTAGCGTTAGGAATGGTATGCAGATCCTCCTGATCTAATCATGTTTTTTGTTGTTGTTGTTTAGTTTTGTTTGTTTGTTTTTCCCCTTCAGGTGCTGTTGGGCTCAAGGCTACATTCCAAAAACTTTACTGTCTGGCTCACTCAAAAAAAGCAAAAACAGAAAGGAGACAGAAAAAGTTTTGAAATTTAAGTTATATAAGCCCCTCCCTAAGACTTCAAACTTATAGCCACACTTTTCATTGAGACATTAGTTTGACTTGTCATAATAGCTATTAAACTTTCACGTGTTATCTTTACTTTTCAGTCATTTTTGTTACTAAAGGTGATACAACAGATATATCAAATCATCTATCCAAAAGTACAGAGCTACAAACATTAAAGACTTGTAGAACCGGCTTAGGAATCGAAGGTTCCTGTATTTTCCATAAATACCGCACAGGTTTATCGAAGTTTAGCATTAACCTAACCTTTTACTTGCACCGTGAAATGTACCAAGACGAAAGCTCCTGAATTAGATTAAAATTCGAACCAACCTTACAATCTTAGAACCTTTATTTTGTGCAGTCTGCACACAGACCCTCAAAGAGAACAAACCAAGAAAGTTCGTAGGTCAAAGGATGAATTAAAGAATTAAGTATAGTTACCTTTCTAATTTCATCCAGCACCGTCTCAAAGGACTTTTTGTCCATCTTGACTATCTCGACGTGGTTTTAACAGCTATACGTTCAGTTATAAAACATTCATCCTTGATCCGCTCCAAGAGTAAAAAAATACTTATAAGCGAGGAGAAAAAGGATTCCAGGAGCAGGAAAAAGGATGCGGAGAGGTAGAATACTTCAAACTCTGCAAAAATGTCTGAAAACGGAGACTTATAAAAACTTTTATTAAAAACAAAACCCGTCAGGCTTCCCCAGTTTCTTTACATAAAGCTTCAGTACACCTCGGAGAAGAGTCGAGTTCTCCGAATCCGGCAGAGAAACCCTGGATGCGGCAGTAGGGCGAGCGCTGTTCTGCTGGTCCCCAGGAGCGGAGGGCCAGATTCCGCCGGAGAAAGCAGCAGCAGTTTTCCCGGGAAAACTGCACCCAGAGCTCCACGGACAGCAGGGAGGGAAGCTCCGGCCTCTTCGCCAGAAGCAGCGCCTGTGCCGCCGGCGGCCGGCTCTCACCGTCCCAATCCTGGACGCATGGCCCGGCTCGCGCCCACCCCCAGCAACAACCCTGGACTCCTGGGCCCCGCAGAGTCCGACGGTAGCGGCCTGGCAAGCTCTTTGTTACCAGCTGCCACAGCTTCCGGGAGTGCACCGGCTGCCGAAGAACACAAGGAGCCCGGCGAAGGGGGACACGATCTCGGATAGGGGGACTCCCGAAGACCGAGCAGCCCGAACACAGAGCCAGGTGCCCTTTCCGGTTATCCCTACAGCACCCACCGGCTCACGGGGACCTTCAATGAAGTCCGTCGCGCCCGAGTAAACTCAACTATGCGCCACCAGCTTAGGCCGCCCTTCCCTTAAAGTCAGTGGAGGGGGTCCTGGTGTGGGAACGTATGTGTCTAAGCAGATGCCCGAATAACTCGGAATCCGACGAAGCTAAAATCCTCCTCAGAGGCTTGATGTCGACATTTTAAGTGCCACCTACTAATTTTTAATGTTTTTCCGTCCTATCTTTTGATTGTTCTATCTGAATGGATGAAGAATGGAAAAAAGCGAGGTTAAGGCATATATACGGAGACCCTTATTTTGGGACGGGGAGAAGTCCGCAGCGTGGACCGCCTCTAGGGGCTGGTAAGGGCGGGCCTTCCCCAAGCACGTGATGAGAGGTGGGCAGGGACCCGGGAAAGTGTCTGAATCCGGAACCAGTGATTCGATTTTCTTATACCTAGATCCTTGCTCCCTGCTCCCTTTTCATTTTCCGATCTTTGCGGCCCTGGCCGTCAGTGTGCAGCAACAGACCTCACAGTCCTTCCGTGGACCCTTGCTCCTGGTCCGATCTGTGGACTTATAATGGCGAGGTTCTGGGTCTGCGTGACGGGTGCCGGCTTCTTTATTGTTTTTTTGACTTTGTACTCGCGATTTTGTGGCTTGCCCGTGAGTTGAGTATTGATACAGGTGGTTGTGGCTTGTGTGTAGAGCACTCTTGGGAGGTGACGGGCCTTGACTCCCATCCTAGCTTGTTTCATTAATTAGTGTTTGAAAGTGTACTTGACACGTTTCTTTGTGCCTTATTTTCTCTTCTTCCCAGTACCCTCTACCCCGTCAAATAATTTCCATGCTAGTATGTGGGCGTCTTGGTCTTTCGTTGCATAAGCCTGTTTCTTTTCAGTCATTTCAGTCCGGCAAAGTGATTGGGATGCTTAACCTGAAATCTTAATCAAACTTCAACTTTAATGTTCTGATTTTATTTAAGGTGTTCAGGAACTTTGCTTTTCAAATTTCCTGGAGAACTAAGGAGGAAATCCCTTACCGCCTGGATGTGGATTGGCCTAAGCATTCTGAATACTTTACTGGAGCCACGTTTTGTGTTGCTGTGGACGCCCTCAGCGGATTGGTTTATATAGCCCAAGTAAGTAAAATTTGCCTTAAAAAAGTTATAAACACTTAAAAATTTTAATTTCAACAGTAAATTTAAAGATCAAATTGACTATTAAATAATTCGTGAATTGGGCAGACCTTTCTACTAGCTAGATGGGATGCAGCAGTGTTCTAATATTAAATAAAACCAGTTAGATCTTTAAATCTGTCCCACTGAGATTTTTTGGGTTTTTTTTTTAAACAACACAAAGGAAACAACGGACTTCCTGTTTTTCTGTATTAAGTAAGAATATATTTTATGTTCTGCCAGTTGTAAAATTTTTTTTCTGAAGTGGTCTTAAGTAATTTCTGAAGTGGTCTTTGGTACTGAATGATATTTATGTATAGTTTCTGAAGCTATGTTTTTAAATATTACTGCACTTTTTTATTTTTATGTTTGATTTTTGTTTCTGGTAAACTAAAGATTACTTTCTTAAAACTGATCCTGTCTAAGCAGTTATTTTTGTATACCTTCAGAGAGGGGATAACATCCCAAAGGTATTAGTGTTCACAGAGGATGGATATTTCCTACGATCCTGGAATTACACAGTTGACACTCCTCATGGTATATTTGCAGTCAGTACACTACATGAACAGTCTCTCTGGATCACGGATGTAGGAAGTGGTATGTGTGGTAATATCTTAAATTACCGTGTTAAAAATCACATTTTTGCCTATGTTTGTATGTTCTAAAATTAGTTGCCAATTCTTTTCATAATATTGTTAATGACTTCTAAAATCACTTGTTTCTTAAAACAGGAGTCAAAAATTAATAATGATGCTCTAATTATGATAATCTTTAACTTCTCAAGGGATTGTTTGCACTTTAAAGCCTCAATTGCTTTTCTCAGATTAAAGAATTCTAAACCGCTTCTGTGAAGTCAAATAAAATTACAATCTCTAAATCTAATAGATCGATCTTATTCTTTGCCTCTCATTTCCTTTACCAATTCTCCTTTAAAAGAGTTGGTGTTAAGAAATCACAGCTACTTTATTGCTGCTTGTAAGATTTGCCAGTTAACATTTCAAAATTCCACTGGCTGAAGCACTGCTGAAACCTTCCTTTCTTCAAGTATTTTTATTAGAATGTGCTGAGGAGTAAGTGTGCACAGTTGAGTATATAGCTATGGAGATAAGTTTTCAGATGTAGTGGTTTGCATCTACTTCAACTTAAGATAGTAAGAAAGAAAACCTGGTATTATCTCAGGATCACGGGAAGAAATGAGATCATAAAGACAGTATTTCTAGAATTCCTTGACACAATTTTGTTCATGGCTTGGAAGACTTCACTTAGTTTCCACAGTTTTAGCTAAATCATGTACCATTTTGAAATTAATGTCTCAGTTTTTTTAAAGTACCTTTACCTGACATATTCTGATGATGTAAAAGATGTCTGAGTGTCAGGCAGTGATCTCTTATTTCAAACTGTATTTTGAATGCTGAGATTCTGGTGAAAAAAAAAAACATTACTCTGAATTCATTATAACATTGTAATGAAATTTGACTATTTCATTATATCTTTGGTTTTAAATTCATTCTATTCATGTGATACTTTTTTACAAAATATTTCACTGGTTCCCAGAAATAAAAAGAACACACATGATGTCTTCATTAGTCTATTGTTTTCCCACATACAAATTTGCAGTTTATATGTTTATTTACTTTTCTAAAAGTTTATTTATTTATGCATACAAGACCTGGGGTATAGGCCAGAGGTGCCAGGGGTGAGAGGATTAACTGGAAACAGATTGGAGAACAGAACAGGCAGCTTGACAAGTACACTGCTGAGGGGGGCAGTGGGCCGGTCAGGAGAGGTCTGCCAAGCTATGTGGGTCACCTCCCTGGCAGGGGATCAAACTTGTGCTACAGTGGCTGAGGATAGCTTCATAGTGCTGTGCCACCATGGAGGGCCCTATTTTTTAAAATTAAAACAAAATTCTTTATATATATTTTACATCAG